CTTCTTCTTCTTCTTCTTCTTCTTCTTCTTCTTCTTCTTCTTCTTCTCCTTCTCCTTCTCCTTCTCCTTCTCCTTCTCCTTCTCCTTCTTCCTATTCCTCTTCCTCTTCTTCTTCTTCTTTGGAGAGAGTGGACACAGTACACCACTACCACAAATCATGCAGCTGAGTTTCTCACATTTGGGGAAATTGCAGAGGGCAGCACATCCGGAATGCAATGGATAAGCCTCGTTCTGGGAAAACCACCCTCGTGATCATGGTACCTCCCCTACCCGGTAAATAGCAAAGCTTGTGTTCTCACAATGGGTCAAGAGACAACATTTGTTAATTGCCTTCATTTAAAATTTTGCTTCTCTTGTTGCTTGAGATGGTCTCATTCTGTCATCCAGACTAGTCTAGGCGTTTTGACAATCTGATGCCTCAACCTCCCAAGTGTTAGGATTGGAGGAATGAGTCACCGTTCTTGTGGGATCACTTTTATTTTTAGGCAGAGTTTCGTGTAGCCCAGGCGACTCAAGGACACAGTTGAAGATGACCTTTGACTTCTGACTTTCCTGCCTCCACCTCCCCTGTCCTAGCAGGTAGGACGGTTTTTGCCTCGCCACTTGTAGTCCATTATCTAGCTAGGGAAGCCAGAGCAGGAACTCAAGGCAGGAACCTGGAGGCAGGAACTGATAAAGAGACCCTGGAGGAATGCTGCTTATCGGCTTGCTCCTCTCAGCTTGGAGTCTTGTAGTCTGGGGGTGACACTGTCTGCAGGGAGACGGACCCAGACCAAGCATCAGTCAAGAAAATGCATTGCAGTCTTGACTTCAGACCAATCTGGTGGGGGCATTTTCTCAATCGAGGTTCCAGTTTCCAAAATAACTCAAGATTGTGCCAAGTTAAAACAAACAAACGAACAACAACTAGCAAGTCGACAAAACCACGCTACCCTTTATGTATGGGCAGTACCTGGACCTGATAGCAGTCATTGAAGCTATTATTGTTGGAAGGGTGGGGAAGATAGCAAATCTTACTGAATCATCTATCAGGAACCTTCCTGGAGGGGCTGAGAAAAGATGGCCCAGTGGTTAAGGGTCTTGGGTGCTCGCTCTTTCAGAGGACCCAGGCTCAATTTCCAGCACCCACATGGCAGCTCACAACTGTCTGTAATCCCAGTTCCTAGGGACCCTATACCCATGGCAAAACACAAATGCACACTAAAAAAAATTAACTAAAAAAAAAAAAAAAGAACCTTTCTGGAATGGGACTGGCCTCAAGCCCCATTCCATCAGCCCTGCAGCTTCTGAGTTAGTAACCTTCCCATCCCAGGCACTTCCTCTAGCTTCACGGTTAATTCCTTCCCTTTTGTCAAGAGCCTGCTTCTGAAGGAGTGAGCCTCAGAGGCTTTCCCCCTTCCTACCAATCCTGTAAGTAGAGAGAGGACTTGGTGTATGGATAGCAACGGTTTTGGGTGCACGCAAGCAGCCAGCCCTTCTTTTTTCGGGAGCTTATCCAGGAGCTTCTTAAACTCCGGTGATGATCTCATGCGGCTTGTGTCATTTCTTGTGGAGCAGGGGGTCATGAACAATTCGGCAGCTGTAAAAGCTTTTTGATACCAGGTGGTGGCCAATGTGGCCAATGCCTTTAAACCCAGCACTGGGGAATCAGAATAAGGCAGGTCACTGAGTTCGAGGTCAGCCTGCTCTATAGAGCGAGTTTCAGGACAGCCAGGGCTACATGGAGAAATCCTGTCCCCCAAAAACCAAGTAAAAAAAAGTTTCTGGATATATATATATATATATATATATATACACACACACACACACACACACACACACACACACACACACAGGACCAAAAATTAATTCAAAACCAAACATCACGAATCTGAATCGTGTTTCTGGTAGCACTTGCCTGTGTGGCATCTTGCAACTTCACTGTGCTCTTGGTTTTGAACACACAACACGCACACTTTGCTCTGTGCACACCGGCACAGCACACAACACCGAGGAACACTACTTGGAACACTACCACTCAGATTTGCACCGTAGTCTTCTTTCTGGGCACACGATGTTCTGTTTCTGCAGAAACACAATGATTTAATTATGGAAAACACAGACAATGTTTTTTAACTGTCATTCCTCAATATGCACCATATTAGCATATCTTTGGGTTATATTGTGTTCGAATGTTTGGTGTTAAAACTTGCCTGTTTGAGTTGCTGACTTGGGTTTCATAAGAAGAAATCATTAAATGAAATTTTCTCTTGGATCTAGGACAGGACTCCCAACAGTTTCTGAGAAGGCCCTAAACATGCTTCTGCCATTTTGTACTACACCAGGCTCAGGACTAGCAATTGTAAAATAAAAAAAGTGAAAAATACGGAAGATGTCCTTGTCCTGCAGCATTAAACTGTTTAATTCTTCATACAGAAACAATCGTATTCATCATATTACTAATAGGGGAAGATCCGAGGCAAGTGTTCTGCCGCTGAACTACAGTCACTGTCCGAAGCATAGTTCATTGTCTTTAATGAATGGCAAAATTCTATACATACCCAGGAATTGTTTTAAAATCCATTTATGATTATCAATAAGTGCTTTGTACACGTTTTATACACCTATATAGGCATGGCTCAGGTAAACATTTTTTTTTCAGGCAAAAAGAGGCCATGATTGGGAAAATTCAAGAGGCCTTGACACAGGGCTACCCTCTTTTTGCCCAGTCTTTGAGGGGCCCGGGGTCACAGCTCAAGTATAGATAACTGGGCATGTAGCTCACTTTGAGATAGGATACAGTTATTCAAGGAGTGGACTAAAATTTTTTTAAAAATATTTTTTATTGTGTTGGGGAGGGGCTCTTGTGGAAGCCAGAGGACACTTAAGGGGTTGGTTCTCTCCTTCTACCGTGTGTGGTGTGGACATCGAACTCAGGTCGTCAGGATTGCCCTCAAGGGCCTTTACCAGCTGGCCCACCGTTCTGTGCACTCTTCTGTCTTTTAAAGGAAAAATTAAGGAGTGGCCTTGCCTTTGTCCCTTCAGCTTCACAGGCCTCTTCATTTTCCCCATAACACTGTTCTTCCACTGTGGATTTAATTTTTACTTTATTTTGCTCTTTAACAAAGTAAAGCACAAAACCTGAATTTAATATAATTCTGTTGACAAACTTGTACCCAGCCCAGGCTAAACAAAGTGCTTTACATGTATTGCCTCTTTTAGCTTATCTAATAAACGTCTATTAGAATCTGCGGGTCGGGTAGGGGCTTCCTGGAATTTGACTTAACGCGGCCACCCTTTCTTGGAGAGAGGCCTAAGGAGAGAAGGAATAGAGCTGAGCAGCTGGCAATGGGAAGGGCAAAGCCGCCTCCCTCTTCCCGGCAGCTGTCGTACCAGGCCTGACCTCCTTTCCCCCAAAGGCAGGCAGGGGTCTCCACCTCTGGCCCGGGCCCAGTCGGTGGGAGGATGGGTGGCTTTTTCCGGGTCACTGGCACACCCTCTCTATCCTTGCCACCTGCCCCGGTTCCATCCCAGTTCCAGGCTCCCCGGAGGGACTCAGGGACATTCCAAACCTCCCACTACCCTCTCAGACGCCGCGGGAGGAGGGAAGGGGGCCGCAACTGCTTGGCCCTTCTAGAACCCAGCTTTGTCTCGGTTTATTTATTTTTTTTCTTTCAACCCCTAGTAGCCCGATTCATCCCGTAGAGGAAACTGATTGATGAAAGGCTTGAAGGTTGGTAGTTTACAACCGACTTTTTGGCGAAGACGCATCTTCAGCAACAACGGCGCTTTTGGGACACCGTCTGCGCTCTTGCAGACAATTGAAAGCCAAACCGCCAAGTTGCCTCCTCACCAGACCAAATATGGTCACAAGCGCTAAGCAGCCTTCCGTGGAAAGTCTGGCCTCGCGGGTGTCTCCCAGCGCCAGGGTGCGCCCCGGCCCGACCTCTGGCAGCTCAGCGCCCCGTGCCGCGAGCCGGGGGCGGGGGCGCAGCGTCCTGGACCGACCCTTTCTGGGCCCTGGCCCCTCAACAGTCTACCCTCCGTTATTCTCAGGCTTGGATTTTGTCCATAACCCCTTGATTTAACAGGCTTGAGCCATTTTCTCTTTGATCCCGCCCCAAGTCAGTGGTAAACTCAAAGGAATGCAGATAGAGCGCTCGGCGGGAGAGGTCGGCGCGGCGGGGCGGGGGCACGGTCTCTCTCGAGCCGCCAAGTGCCCAGCCCACCCCCGCGAGCCGGGCTGGGGTGGGAGGAGGAGGAAGAGGAGGGGCGTGGGGCAGGCTGGCTCCGGCCAGGAGGTCATGCATAATTCAACAGCTCCACTTTCGGCCCGCCTCTTTCCTAGGGGTGGGAGTTTGCTGCAAACTTTGTTTATGGGACAGTCCGGGAGCCTTGGCGGCTGCGCTCGTCTGTGTCTTCTCAGTCGCCTCCTCGCGTAGTGCGAGCGCTCGGGGCCGGCTCCGGGGATGTAAGAGTCCAAACCTTCGGCTGCTGGGAATCCGCTCAGGATCTGCCAGCCGGGGCCGAGTTCCAGCTTGCTAGTTCGGGAGGCTCTCAGGCTCGGCTTCCCCGCGTGCCCAGGTAGCGCCCTCCGCGTCTCGCACCCTCTCCGGAGCCCGGCTCTTCGTCATCAGCGGTCCCCGCGCCTGGGGTCGGCGGTGGGTGTGTTGTTCAGGGGAGGCTGCGACCCGGCCTGATACAGGCACCCCTACCTCCCTCAACCGCTGCCTGCTCAGGGGAGCTTCTTGGCTGCCGGAAAAGTTGCATAATCTCGGAGGCCGGGGCGCCCCCTCCCCCACCGCTGGTCCCTCGACCCGTACCTAACTGTCTCTGAGTTCGCTCTGTCCTTCCCCGGGACCCCCCTCCTCTGATTAGAACTAAAAGCCTGAACCGATCTTCCTTTTCCCTTGCAGAAAGATGAATCCGTCCTCGGTGCCCCCTGCGCTCCCGCCTCCAGGGCAGCAAGTCATCCACGTCACGCAGGACCTCGACACGGACCTCGAAGCCCTCTTCAACTCTGTCATGAACCCCAAGCCCAGCTCTTGGCGGAAAAAGATCCTGCCGGAGTCCTTCTTCAAGGAGCCCGATTCTGGCTCGCACTCGCGCCAGTCCAGCACCGACTCATCGGGCGGCCACCCCGGGCCTCGACTGGCGGGCGGCGCGCAGCACGTCCGCTCGCACTCGTCGCCCGCATCCCTGCAGCTAGGCACTGGTGCGGGCGCCGCAGGAGGCCCTGCACAGCAGCACGCGCATCTCCGTCAGCAGTCCTATGACGTGACCGACGAGCTGCCACTGCCCCCCGGGTGGGAGATGACCTTCACCGCCACTGGCCAGAGATACTTTCTCAAGTAAGTCAGCCGCAGCCAAGAGGGGCACAGTTGTGATGCCCAGGACGCTGTCGCGTTGGTGATATGTGTGCGCGTGTGTGCGCGCCTGTGTGTGTGTTGGAGAGACAGAGAGTCTGCTTGAGACTTTTTCAAGTTTCTTAAGAGATCTGTAAAGTTGGAAAAGTAGAGAGTGAGCCCCGGGGAGTTGAACTTGACTAAAAGCAGTTTTCGTGATCTTAGGCCCTTAGCTCCCGATCTCAGAGCTAGGTCTATTAGCATAAGATAACAGGAACGTTGGGAGACCTTGGAAGAGAAGGGTCTGCCGGTGAGTAGGTGGCCAGGGTTCTTCAACCACTCAGGAAAAGCAAGCCGGAAAAGATCACAGCGCCTAGTGGGTTTACCCTTCCCAGCTGGTGATGTAATGGCCACACAGTACAGTGATGTAATTACAAACTGCATTGTAAAGTAGTTATGGGTTGGACCAACAAATTGTGTGGAAATTGGGTCAGGAGTCTTATGATGTTGCACTTGGTAACCTGGAATACCATCACATCAGGAATGTGCATTGTCATCCTTCATATCGTATTGGTCCAGCTTTTGGATGTACATTTTTTGCATATAGGTTATACAGGAAAAAAAAGTATATTTTCAAATGCTAGAAGAGATTTGCATTTCTGAGGAAAAAATAAGCTGGAACTTGAGTGATTCTCAGAACCAGTGAGGTCATAGGGGTCAGGCTAGCAAAGGTCTGGATGGAAGTTGTGGCTGAACCACTTGGTGCAGAATCACTTCGGCTTGACATCTTAACTGCCAAAAGGGAAAATGCCCGAGAACTCATGGCTTAAAGTTCATCTTAGAGCCCTGTTTCTTTGTTGAAGTAGCCTTGTTTCAAAGGTTCAAATGTAAGACAGCTTGTACTGCTTTCAGAGTTTAACCAAACTCTTCTTTGGCGTTCATCTTTGATGCTCTGGTTTGAGGCTCTAAGAATGAGCATGTGGTGGTAAATGAGGTTTATTATGCACAAATCTGAGACTTACTTATTCCTTCCCCATCCCAAAGCTGTTGACATCTTGTGCATATTCCGATTTGTTTTGCTGGCGGGTGGTGGCACACGGCTTTAATCCCAGCGCTCAGGAGGCAGAGTCAGGCAGATCTCGGATCTTGGTGAATATGGAGGCCAGGACAGCCAGGCCCAGGAAAAACGTGTCGAATAACAGAAACAACAGCAGCAAAAGTTTTATTTTATGTGTATGTGTGTGTGCCTTGCCTGGGTGTATAGTGTATGTATCACATACATGAAGTGCCCATGGAGACCAGAAGAGGATGTCTGATTTCCAGGAACCGGCAGTGTGAGCTGCAACTCCCTCCCCTAATTTGGGCTTAGGGTGCTAGGAACTGAACCCCAGTCCTCTGCAAGAGCATCACGTGGTCTTAACCACTGAGCCATCTCTTCAGCTTCTTGGGAATACTTTTTATTGTTTTTATGTTTGTTTTGGGGTTGGTGTGATACCGACATCCTGAAGCCGGCACAGTGGCCTTTTAGTCCAGTTGGTGCCTGGATTATTGAGCCATGGTGTAGACATGTGCTCAGTGCTTTGATCTCTAAATAGTGGTAGAAGTCAGGTATGTGATGTCATAGCATAGCATTTTTCTAAGTTTAGAAAGATATTAGTGTTCAAAATATCGTGTATTAAGTTCACTTAGGTAAGTGCAACTGTGTTCATAATATAAAAATCATATTTCATCCTGACTTTTACTAACATGAACTTTGCAATAAATATAAGTAGAGTCTCAATCATTTTAGATTGTTCTTTTTGGTCTCAGATGACTTTTAAACTGCTCATGAATGCACCCATAAATATAATTATTGAATTAGGAAATAAGAGCTGGGATTGCCTAATGTCTGTGGGAACATAGACAAAAATGGCCTCTAAGTAAAAACAAATTCTTTTTTTCTACACGTCTTCTTAATGGTTGAATTTGCTCAGATGTGTTTGTGATTTAGGGCAAAAATAGAAGTTAGCCTTGGGTGTAGAAAAAGTTGCTGTGATCCATTTCTGTCTGCCCATGCGGCTCCAGGAACTCCTCCAGCCAAACCAGAGTGCTTCTTCATTTCATTTTGAATCGTCAATGGAGTGAGTGTAAACAGCGGGTTGGCCCGACCTGATGTCATCCCTGGACATTTCTTAGCTAAGTAATTAAGAGCATTGAAGGGGTTATGTGTTTTTGTGAATAGTGTCTTGTAGAATAAGCGATCTGCCAAGAATTCTGGATGTCTTTGAGAGCTTTGTTTGATGTTTGAGTCAGGTAAATGTTGTGTCACGTTTTGTTACCCAGCCTTAAGGAAAACTGGTAGCTGTTGAACTCTGACTGAATTCTCTTGAGCCCTTGTCCCTTCCTCAGCGTTATCATCTGTAAAGTGGGGTTAGCTGAGGAGTCCTATTCGTGACTATGGGGAGCCGAGGGCTGTCTCGATCAGAAACCAAAGGAATTTGGAGTTGACAAGGATCAGTTTGAGGGTTTGGTGGCTTTGGTGTTTTATGTTTTTGGCAGAAATCGTGTTATTTGACAGTGGACTCTGACAGAAGTGGACTCCATCTATTTTTAAGCAGGTGTTTGCCCTTTCAACCCCTCCTTTTACCTACGTCACTAACACACCTGAACAATGAGTTTGTGGGGAATTTATTCTATAAATGTTACTGTAAAAAAAAAAAATTCTGCAAAAAAACTTCCCCTGCTCATACATGCAATTACATTGACCTTTATTAATAATTAATAAAAACCTCCAAGAGACTTTTAGCCATCTTTTGTCGTTTTCTTCAGTAAACTAGATTAGTCCTAGGTGTATGATGTCATCACTTTCTGCTACTTTTTTTTTAGAGCAAGGCCTCACTCTGTAGTCCTAACTGGCCTACAACTCACAGGTTTGCTTTCCCGTGTCTCTGAGCGCTGGGATTAAAGACAGCCTTTTCTGTTTCTTCTTAAAGGTGACTGTTTGAGTATTTGTACCTTTGCTCTGCTGTGGCAACCTTTAAGGTACCGGATAGAGAGGCAAAGCTGAAGCCGGGTGGCTCCTCTGATGCCTCTGAGTCCACCCAAGTGCAGCCTGGCTCATTGGGACTGAACCCACCACGGGCTATTTTTTAGCTTATTTTCTCAGTGCCAGAGAAGCTTAGATTCAGTTGTGGTCAGCCCAGCATACTATGCTGGGAAACCCAGAGCCCCTGGGAGGACAGCAAGCACTCTTAATGACTGAGCCGATCTCTTTAGCTCCCCTACTGAGGTTATCATTTATTTTTAAATTTCTGATTATAATGAGATACATGGTTTTTGTGCATGAACCATAAATAGAATTATTATTATTATTATTATTGTATTTTGGCTTTTAGAGACAGGGTTTCTCTGTAACTTTTGGAGCCTGTCCTGGAACTAGCTCTTATAGACCAGGCTGGCCTCGAACTGACAGAGATCCAGCCTCCCAAGTGCTGGGATTAAAAGCGTGTGCCACCACTGCCCAGCAAAATAGAATTTTTAAAGAAAATGATGGCCTTCAGTCAACTTTTCCAGTCTTTATTCTATGAATGTTATTGTAGAAAGTAAATAACAATTCTGCAAAAAACTTCCCCTGCTCGTACATGCCATGACATTGACCATTATTAGTTATCTTTAATAATAGTTGTATTTTATTTTTTAAAGACTGGGTCACATGATGTAGCTGTGGCTGGCCTGGAACTCCTGTCTGCCACTGCCTCCTAAGTGCTGGGATTAAAGTCATGGTTAACACACCCTGCTGTTCTGCCTTTTCTGAAGTGTGTGTGTGTGTGTGTGTGTGTGTGTGTGTGTGTGTGTGTGCGTTATTTATTTATTTATTGCTTTTTCAAGACAGGGTTTTTCTGTGTAGCTCTGGCTGTCCTGAAACTCACTCTGTAGACCAGGCTGGTCTCGAACTCATAAAATAAATTTTTTTCAACCAAACATCTTCACAGTGGTAACAGATCTAGTGGTGTAGATGTCTTTCGTTGAATAACAGTGGTTTCCTTCAATCCTCAGAGCTCATAGATAAGAACTTTAAACTTTTAAAAATTGCATCTATTTTTAATTTAGGTTTTCTCTTTAACCCTCAATAATCCACTGATAAGATAGGGGGAGCCTAGTTCCTTATACTAGTTTTTTGTTTGTTTTTTTTTTTTTTTTACCCTGAGTTTGTTGTTTGCCTGTTGCTTGCCTGCTAGGCATCTTTGTTATTGCTTTGCTTTTTTCTCAACTATTATATATCTATCTGTCTATCTATCTGTCTGTCTGTCTGTCTATCTATCTGCCTATCTATCTATCTCTAGTTAAAAGATTATTGGTTTCATTTGGCATCTATCTATCTATCTATCTATCTATCTATCTATCTATCTATCTATC